GCCAGGAAGTCGGGAGTTGGGGGGCAGGGGAGAGCAAAGGTCCAGAGAGAAGACAAACCCTTCCAGAGCACAACCCCAGTGACCTTCTTCCTCTAACTAGGTCCCTGCCCCTAGTCCATTCAGCCATCCATGAATTAATCCACTGATGAGGTCAGAGCCCCCATGATTCCTTCACTTCCCCACAGGACCACCTCTGGACACGTGAGACTTGGGGACATTTCAGATCCAAACCATAACGGTCATTCTCCAGTCCTTCCAGTTCCACCTTTGGATGGGGGGGAGGGCTCTGAACTGGATTTGGAGCTTAGGCAGAGGTGACCTTCATGATCCTGCCACAGGGTGACTGCCTAAAAGACCACAGTGCGAAGAACAACTTCTCACTAGCATGTAGCTTAGGTTAGAAGAATTTGTTTCCCTCCCCTTGTTAAGTAATGATTTAGAGCACTTCCTCCATTGCTTTCTCCTCCATCATTGTTGGGGAAGGAGAATACCATGTCCTGTCTGCCCTGTGTGGAACTCTTGCAGCCCTGTTTGTTCCTGCCTATAAGGGCATCTCCACATAGGTGGCAGACAGAGAGAAGCTAAGGGGTAAGGAGTCACTTGGGAGCAAAATCATTTATAGGACCAGCAGCTGGAAAAAAATACTGCCGGGCCCTCTGATGGGTTGTTGGAGACATTCACATAGTATTGGTTTAAGCATAGTGCAGGTGAGGAGATTGATCAATAGGGAAAGCTGCTGCACTTCAGGAATTCATTGCATGGAGTAGCTCCTCCAGTATTTGAACTAGTATGCTGCCCTCCAAAGCTCCTTTCCTACACATGGGCTGGGTCAAAGGCATTCCAGGAAAGACCCCCATCTCCTATGCCTGCTTATACCTTAAGGGAACTCCAACTCTGGCTCTGTCTTCCCATTCTGTTCTTGCTCTCCACTCACTTCTTTGGATTTGATGTTTCATACTCACTTAGGCCATGGACTCAGACACCAGTTCCCTTTTTACTTGAGTCCTGAAACCTAAGTCAACCCCACTTTATACCCTGACCCAACACTATTACACCAAACCCAAACTCCAGGTAACAGTCCAAGCCAGAGCTTATCCTCTAAGCTTCGACCCCCAAACTCCATTTATTCTAGAAGCTGGGATTGACAGTCAGTAGGACCTCATAAACACAAGTAGGAAAAGGCAATAGACTTTCCTGGAAATTGAAAATAACTTCGGAGCCATTAAAACTATAATGCCTTACCATATACTCTTGATTTAACAGAATGTCTTTTGATCTTTATTTATCCATTTGTATATCCCTCTATATTTCTCCAAACTTTGAAATATTTAATCTAAGTATTTTTTTGTTGTTGGTGCTCTATAATTTTTGCAATTTAAAGGAATTTCAGCAAAAGTCAGCAATAGATGCTATTCTCAAGTAAGGCACTAGGTGGTGCATGTGAATTTTAAGAAAGATTTAAGTTTGTAGTTACCAGTGACAATACTAATGCAGGAAAAATTTTAAAATCTTTCAACTAAAAATAGAGAAATATAAGCAACATAACAGCTTTATAAATATATGTAAAGTCCAAGATAAGGTTTTCCAAAAGAGATAAAAACTGGAATCAATAATGTTTTTTCTTTTCTGTAGACCCTCCAAATCATAGAAGAAGGAAGAAAATTAAAGCTGGCAACAATTTTAGTGGAGACATCAGTTGTTGGTAAAGGCAGATAGGGATATATCTATATAGCTATATATATCTTTATATTTTATATGTATGTGTTCATATAGAGATAGATGGATTTTTTTTTTTTTCTGGTTGGAAAAGTAGTTGTCTGTCAGCCTGGAAATATCTTGCATCCTATATCAGTGTCTAGATTGCCAGCTTCAACTTGGGGAACAAATAAGTCTGAAGAATTTAACTTCCCATAAGCAGGGAAAGAGATCACACACTACTAAATCTGTGGGTAAAATATTTTAAATGCTATCTTTTATTTATAAAATATCATTGAGGAAGATTTTGGTGAGCATTGAGCTCAGATTTACAAAAAAGCATCTGCATGATTCTTGTAGTTATATTTGGCAGACAGACATAAAGATTGCTGTGGCACACAAATAATCTGCTATGGGCCTCAAGGAGACCAATTTTGATCATGGTGATATTGGATTGTGTATGTTCACACTGAAAATCAACTTTCTACTAGAGTATTTTTATCTGCAAGATTTCAGATGAGATTTTGTTAGTGTTTCCACTTTAGTTGGCTATAAAAATATCTTTCAACATGAAGCCTGACCTTCCTGCATGCAGTTCAGGCTACCTTTAAGTACAGGTCAATAGTGATGGGAATGTTTTCCAAAACCCAGGGGTGTTTTCCAATGGTTCAGTGATATTTTGAATTCTGATTTCCTTTCTCAATCTGCCTGTTACTGTTTACCTCTGAGCAACCTGAGATGGCTGCTTCTTTATATTCCATCCAGGGTATTTATTTGCTCTTAGTGGAGAGATACATTAAGAGTGCCTACTCCATCTTGACTGGAACCAGATCTGTGGGCAATTTTAAAATTCCTATTTTTTTGGTCAAATTATATGCAAAATAAACTCTAACTTATTTTATATTTCTTAGCTTATTTCATATAATTATAAGATAAGAATTTATGAAGGAGATTAGCTAGCTGAATTTAATTTAATGCAAATTTAATCGCTCCATTAATAAATGTTGCATTATTTTGCTTTATGATGAAATTTATGCAAAAAAGAACTCAAATTTATGTGGAGGAGAGTTTGGACAGAAATGTGCACTCTCCTGTTGTCCTGATTAGCAAAATGGCTAGCTAGCAGGAGGAAGCAGCTCTGAATAATAGTGAAAATCTGTATTTAAAACCAATTTCGTTTCTCTTTATGTCACCAATATGCAAGGACATAGATCAATAAATTGTTCTGTTGATAATTTGAAAAATGCTTAGGTTATAAATTTGGTTTTATTAAACAAAATTGTCGTTCTAATTTGTACCTTATATGAATTAGCAGTAAAACCGGTTCTAATAATAGAAGTGACTAATAGCATGATTCAAATATGCCTTCTTTAAATGTATCAGTGATGGGGATTGGAAATTAAGATTTAATTTAAGAGGCTAGAAAAGAAAAAAGTCAATGTTCTATCTGCCCATTTTTATTGTGTTATAAGCCCAAGTCTCAATATGCAGAGCTGATGAGTTTGCTTCTTCCTTTTTATTTTTTCCACCTACTTTTGTGAAATGCATGTAGCCAAGATTGAGGTACATGTTCCCATTCCACGACTTTCATGTGGCACTTACAGTGAAACAAAGCCAGCTTCTGGGTTCTGGCTAGATAAGATCATGTCCATGGGTGATATCTTCTTATGCTGTGATGATGATGGGCATGAAAGTTGGCTGGAAAGAACCCAGCCATGATCCTTCTCTACTGGTGGGACATGGAGGTTATTTTACATGTAATTTTGCTCAATTAATGGTGTTCTGAGTAATGTGTGGAGTTATGCAAATTTATTCCATATTTTTGACAAGGATGTAAGAATAGGACTTGGTGCATTTTTTCAGCCTTTGTGCATCTTTTATATCCATGACTGACTGTAACTGTTTTTACAGACTCTGGGGAGAGAGAGAGAGAGAGAGAGAGAGAGAGAGAGAGAGAGAGAGAGAGAGAGAGAGAGAGAGAGAAGGGAAACAACTCATGAACGATTCTATTTATAAATGAAGAAAATTGAGATGCTAATCATTAAGGGATTTGCTGAATATCCCGCACTCCATTACTCTCAAGCCTGAGACTAGGACCCAGAGCTCTTAACCTCTAGGCCAGTGCTCCCCCCAACACCACATGGAGTAGTGATAAGTTTATGAAGGGAATTATAGGAAGGCCCAATTTAACACTGAATTAATTTTAAACCCTGAAAAACTATATTTTGGTATGCTGAAGGCAATTGTTATTTATTACCAACCAAGTTTTTTAAATGCATGGTGAACAATGGCCCCAAGAGAAAAATCCCAACATATACACAAAAGGACATATTTAAGGAACAAAACAAAACATAATTTGTTTCTAGTAGGAAACAAAACAAAACAAAACAAAAAAAACTGGAATCAGCCTAATATCGACTAATATAGGACTAGGTAAATGAGTTTTTATATATTTATATGATTAGAGTGACCGGCTAGGTAGATAGTTTTAAAAATCATCGTGTTAAGTGAAAACAAGCCTGCAGAATGAAATTCACAATATGATATCATTTTTATAATGGAACAAAAGAAACCATGTATTACTCATGAGTACATATATAAATTTTACCAATATTTAGAAATAGGCTGGGGAGATATCTACCAAACAGTGGCCACCTCACTGCAATGGGACAAAGGTCATAAAGGGGTCTCAAATAAGCGAATAAGATAAAATGTAAACTGATCAATTCTTTGGTTTTTACTGTATTCTCAGAAGTCTGCTTTAGAAATATCTAAGTTGGGGGTGGTGCTGGCAGAACAGATGAAGGGACCTGGAAGGAAGGGAAGACTTATGATTGTACCCTAGTGAAACTCGATGCCTGAAATGAAAACAGGATGCAGACTGCCATTCGTGAAATTCCTTCCTATTGACATCTCAGGATTTTCCATGACTTGGTTCTTTTTATATGAAATATTGTGCATGAGTTGATAGTGATCTTACCACACCAACCAGGAAAGGCATGTAGGAGTGGTTTATTCCTGGAAGTGCTGTGGTTAGATTTTAAGGAAAGTAAATATATGTGATGGGCGGCCATTTGGTAATGCTCACCACTTGGCAGGAGTGAGACCCAGCTTAGGTGCTCACCTCCCACTGGTAGCTCCACAGGGAGAGCCTGGGCATCTGCACTTGGCTTGCATTTACTCTCTCCATCTCTGAAGTCTCCTCACGTGTCATGTGACAACATTGGGAACGAGCCATCCTCATTAAAATCTTCTGCTATGTTATTTACTGCCTGAATGCCAATACTCTCTTGATACATTTCTAGGCATGAGAGGATGCATACCAGGGGACCCTATCATGTGCAGGATGCTGAAAAATACTGCCTCGAGGATGATTTGGTCAATCTCGAGGTCCTGGATGAGGTACTGAATATTTAGTAGACAGTTCTCATTGGAGGCGTTTGTTGTATGTGAATGGTTTGACCTTTCTCTCGTAGACCATGTTCTTCTAAGGTCATTTGACAATTTAATTGTATAGCCATGGGGTGAAACTCAGGGAGCATTTGGTTGCTGTGACTATGATCCTGTTTGTTTTCATTTAGAGCCCCTATAGTGATGAAGAGAAAGAATTTAGATTTTTCCTATAAAGCCCATTATATGATAGGGCTAAATGATGGATTCTATTCCTGAAATTATTTTCTGCCTAATAAAAAATGGCAATTAACCCTCAAGATAGTTGTTTGTTCTTCATTAAGAGGCGCTTCATTTAGGGAAATAGTGAAGTTAATATAGCTCACATTCTAAAGCTGAATACTGTGATAATCCTCATTTAAAATATGCACATTTAATAGAGCCGTTAATTGTGCTGGACCTGCTTCTGCTGAGTCTAACTCTTGGGAGCTTTAATTTCAACGACTGAATCACTAATGCATAATGTCAAAGTGTTCAATTCCATATTCCTACCACCTAGATTTTAAGTGCAATGCTTTGAGAAATGAAATTACTATTTTGTTTGTACTTTACCATAGGAGTAGCCTAACTAAATTCTAAGTAAAATATTTTGATTGGGTAAGACAAGTTTTTTTCCCAATAACAAATAAAATTTTTGTTGACTATTTCAATATCCTTTAACAAGTCCTAATATTTTCAGTATATCCCTATTTTCTTCTTTCAAGACAAATATCTGTGCCATTTTAGTGACTTGAGATCAGTAGGAGCATTGTATAATTTCAATGAACTACTTCAATCTTTTAGAGAATAATATTCTTATAGGAATAAATTCGTTGTTATTTTTAGAATCTCTGGCTTGGTTGAATATAATGTCTACTGCTCTCAATACCTCTTTTCCGCTTCTCAGGAAACAATTATTCATCACTTGCAGAAGCGTTATGCAGACTCACTGATTTACACATATGTTGGAGATATTCTAATTGCCTTAAACCCCTTCCAGAATCTAAGCATCTACTCTCCACAGGTAAGGAATACTTTAAGAGCATGTGTTAGTCAGTTTTTTTTTTTCTGCTGTGACTAGAAGACCCACCAGAGCAATTGTAAAGGAGAAGATGTTTATTTGAGGGCTCACATTTCTAGAGGTCTTGTTCCATAGACAGCAGGCTCCATTCCTTAGGGCTCAAGGTGAGACCAAATATGATGGCAGAAGAGTGTAGTGGAGGGAAACAGCTCATATGATGATCAGAGAGCAGAGAGAGAGAAAGAGACTCCAATTGCCAGATACAAATATATGCCCCAAAGGCATACCCCTGGGACTCACTTCCTCTAGCCATATCCTACTGGCTTTCAGTTACCACTCAGTTAATCCATCAGGGGATTAATTTATTGATTGGGTAAACCTTCTTGCATTGCTTCACACATGAGTTTTTGGGGGACAGCTCACACCTAAGCCATAACAGAGCATAAGTCTCCTTGAAGAAATTCAAAATTACTAAAGCTGGCCCTGGGGTTGTTGCTTAGTGGTAGAGTGCCTGCCTAGCATGCATGAGGCCCTGGGTTCAATCCCCAAGGCTTCTATCAATTGGTCAATCAATCAAATTAATAATAAATAAAATCACACAAGCAAATGGAAAGAAAGATGATGTGGTAATAAAATCAAGCCACCCTAGAGGTATATATCCAAACTGCAAATAATAATGCAACATACTAGAAAGGTATGGAGGGTAACTTTTTAAAGCAAACTACAACAATAGCTAACAATTATCAAGTGCTTATGACATGCCAGGCACTGGGTTGTGATCATTTCCCACAACTCTGTGACATAGGTGCTATTAGTAAGCCTGTCTGGCAGATGAGGAGTCTTAGCACAAAGAAGTTAATGCCCTGGCATAGGCTCCCAAGAGCTGGAATTTGAACTCGGACGTGCAGACTGCAGAGCCTTCCTGAGACAGCAAGTTCCTACTTAAGTAATACAACCTTGGTTTCCTGGGCAGCAGATGGTGAAAGCATTAGATGGTCCACTGGACCCTTAGAAGTTTCCTTTAAATTAGTTACTGTTTTCTTCAGTTTTCCAGGCTCTATCATGGGGTGAAGCGCATCTCGAATCCCCCCCACATATTTGCATCAGCAGATGCTGCTTACCAGTGCTTGGTTACTTTCAGCAAAGACCAGGTAGGGACCCACCTTTCTTTCCTACCAGGTACCCTTCAGCTCCTGAGTCTTCCCGGAACTTTTCCCTTCTGCTGCTGAGGCTGCAGGAAATGGGAAATGAAATCGCAGCTCAGGGCAGCTGCAACACTGATAAGGCCACAATAGCAGGAGAAAGCAGAGCCCACTTGGAGAAATGTGAAACATTCACACCAAGAGCACTCACCTCTCATAATAAGTAATAAAGTTTCTGATACAAATACTATATTTCACCACATAATCATTGAAGATTTATGCCAAGGTGTGTGTGTGTGTGTGTGTGTGTGTGTGTTTCAAAAAGTTAGGATTCAACCATTATGTGATTCTTTTTTTAAAAAAAAATTATGCCAGTATTACTCTAAATATAATTTATTATTAAACTGTCTTTCGTTTAAGATTAGGATGCACAGAATACTTGCAAATATACATTAAAATGGAATAGTCCAAATGGGTCATTTTTTTCATGACAGTTTAATGAACATTTTTTTGTGTGTCTGGAAACAAAAGTTAACATTAATTGTTATTGATTTGTGCATTACAGTTGAAATATTATACTTGAGAAAATTTACTACAGCGTTGCAGAATATAAACTTAGAAAATTTAATATTCTGTGTCTAAAGATTCTGCACCGCTATCACTGGTTAATCTGATACCTCATCTTTGATATTGTTCATATAAGATGTGTTTACTATGAGTACTGCAGTGCTCTAAACCAACCACACAAGTTGAAAGTCACCTTTCAGAAATATACTGACAATGTGCATGCACTGCCCTGAGAATCCCAGGCTTCAGGCTCGCAGTGCATGAGAAGACAAACGTGCACCCATACACCACTGGTGAACACATTGCTCTCTTTACCTTTTAAACAACATGAGAAATAGAATTGTACCTCATGATGATTATGGAATGAAAGGTTCTAAAGTGTTTTTTTTTTTTTTTTTTTTGTACCAGGGATTGAGTTCAGGGGCATTCAACCACTGAGCCACATCCCCAACCCTATTTTGTAATTTATTTAAAGACAGGGTCTCACTGAGTTGCTTAGCTCCTCACCATTGCTGAGGCTGGCTTTGAACTCAAGATCCTCCTGTCTCAGCCTCCTGAACCATTGGGATTATAGGCACGTACCACCCATAAAACAGTTTTTAGACTGAAAAAATAGGTGCAACAGTTATGTGGTAGTGATGATCATGTGGTGAAAAACGGTATAGTGAGAACATGATTACATGACAACGATAATAATAGTATGTAGAAGGGCATAAATGAAATTCCTTCCTATTCAGGTCTCAGAATTTTCATGACTTGGACCTTTTCACATGACATTTTGCACTTGGTTTGCCAGTGATCTTGCATCACACTGTTTAGCTGCTTAGAAATTGTGATGGGCTGGGCTAAGACTGAATGAGCTTTAAACTCAATGCCAGTTCACCACAGATTTTACTCACCCTTTAACCCTCCAGACTTCCCATTCATCGTAGTGATACATCCTACATTTGACCACTCCTTTACTCTCAACAGGTGTATTTTCTTTATTCTGTGTGCGTATATTTCCTAAGACCTGCAAAATCCGAACTTGGGGTTGTTGAGAAATAAATAAAATTACAACAATACAGGTTATAAAATGGAATGCATGGATTCATTGTAGGTTAGAAACTTGGTTTCTCCAGGTTCTTACTGCTCTCAGAGATTTGTGAAATGCCCATAGACTTGATGGAGAGGAAGTAAATGGAATGAGATAATGTAGTTTTCAAGTTAAGAAAAGTTACGCCCACTATTCTGTCTTTTTTTCTTTTTTACTGACACTAAATGTGTGTTTTCCAAACTAATCGGTTTTCCAGTTCTCTGATATCAACTGGGCATCCTACAATTCAATTCAATTCAATTCAGTTCTGACATTATCTGGATTTAGACTCTACAAGTTAAGGGCTCAATCCAACAAAACTTCCCTGATTCAGAAGCCAGCCACAAATGGAGTAGCCAGGCATCTTACAGTTCTACCAAACCAAATGCAAATTCAGGGGTCACCAGGACTCCCCTCAGGTTTGCTAATTCACTAGAACAATTCACAAGATTCAGGAAAATACTTAAGTTTGCTGTTGTATTATAAAGGGTACGACCTAGTACCAGATACATGGGAGAGATGCAGAGAGCAAGCTACGGAGGAGGCGCATCTGTTCTGGACAGCCCTCCCTATATTCCATGTGTTCACCATCTTAGAAGCTCATTGAAATCGTTGTTCAAGAGTCTTTATAACTCAATCTCCAACCTCGTTCCCCTTCCCGGAGTTTGGGAGGTAGGGCTGATGGTTCCCACCCTCTAATCACCTGCTTGGTCTTTCTGGTGACCAGTTCCCTCTAGAAGCAGCCTAGGTTCCTCACCTTGAACCACTTCATTAGTAAACTGAGGTGTGATTCAAAGGAGCTCCTTGTGAATAACAAAAATGCTCCTATCATTCTGGCCACTCAAGAGATTCCAAGGGTTTATGCCAGAAACCAGGGATGAAACCCAAACTTTTTATTATGCCACAGCCATTCATTTCCTTTATGCATGAAGAGTTCCTAGAAATGAATTATAAAAAGGTCAACAATGCAATAAAAAATAGGCAAAGGATATGGATAGGTTGTATAAGAAAAATACAAATGACCTTAAGCATATGGAGAGATGCCCAATATTACTCTAATAAAAGAAATGCAGATTAAAATTGCACTGAGATTTCATTTTTAACCTATCAGGATGGCAAAGATCTAATCTACTGTGTTAGTGAGGCTGTAGGAGGGCAGGCATTTTGATACATTGGTACAGTCCTTAAGAAAGCAATTTGGCGGTATCTATCAAATTTATAACGAATAACCCCACTTCTCAGCATTTATTCTGTAGATGAACCTGCATATAAATATAATGACCTGTGTATAGCATTAGTCATTGAAACATTGTTTGTAATGACAGAAGGAAAAAAAAAACCTCAAGTATATCAAGAAAAAGATTAACGTATGTCTGTACATTGAAATGACAAGTAGCTGTGCCCAAGGTTGAAGAAGCTCTCCATGTACTGAAATGGAAAGATTTGTAGGATAGATTTATTGCTTGGTGAAAAATCGAAGTATACAACAGAGGATGTAATATGAAGACCACGGCTGAATGTACAAGTTGTTTCATGGCCCTGAATTCTTCTCTCTATACTCCATTTCCCATGTCAGTGCATTGTCATCAGCGGAGAAAGTGGCTCAGGGAAGACGGAAAGCGCCCACCTGATTGTTCAGCATCTGACTTTCTTGGGAAAGGTATTGACTGACCTGATTTGTGTATCATGGCTAGGAGTTCCTGCAGAGCAGCTGCCTGTTTCATAAGTGATGGTAGTACTGCTTTTTATTAGGGGTTACATAAAAACATTCCATCTTTGTTACATTTGCCTCCTGGGAGCTCATCCTCTTAAGATGTCAGCATGCCAACCTTGTTTCACATAGGGAGGAAAATAATGAGAGTGCGAACTTGCCACATTATTGGCCATTAATTTTTCATGTTTTCAGTATAATAGAAACATGGAGCTATTAAATTGTAAAAGTGATTAAACACTATGAACATATCAGGGAGAGCTGCTACGGGAATGGGAGGGATGGAAAATGAACATCTTTGGCAAAAGTTAAGGGAAATGAACGTTTAAGTTTGGTGAAGTGGAGATTGAAGAAACAATTGCAGAATTAGCCTAGTGGTTGCTGATACTCAGAATTAATGTGTTATATAACTAAAGAATTTCAGGAATTTCAGGAAT